CCCATGCGGCAGCAGCAATGGCTGCAGTACCTCATAGCACAAATACAAACAAATGAGTTGGATTGGTTCCGGCTGGCTCAGGACCGAGAGGAGTGAAAACGGGTGGTGTTGGCAATTTTCCCAATCACGGCAACAGATCGCCACCAACAGGCGGCCCTAAACCGCTGGTCGTCCGGGCAGGGAGCTCCAATATTGCAAGAAGGGCAATTTAGGCTTGAAAAGCGTAAACGTGAGCGCTTTATGCTCCGAAGTGTCCCCCTTGTATCAGTGTCCCATATGTCCACAGGGCTTTGCAAAAAGTAATGGTCTGGTTGCGCACTACGTTGATCACCACGCGGTGGCGGACCCTACCAAAATGACGGTCGCAATGTATGGATGTGAGGCGTGCGGACAGTACTGGCGGAATGAGAAACGACGGCGGCTACATGACTGTTCGGTTCAGCCGCGAATGAGGGTTAACCGGGGACCGGTGGCGCAGGATACGTGCCCATCCTGTGGGGTGTTTATGACAAGGGCAAATCTCCCGCGCCACCAGGAACTTTGTAGGGGCCCCGACCCCGCTAATCGGACGTGCGCGAGGTGTGGAACAATTTTGGGAAGCATCCAGGCGCGAAAAAATCACCAAGCCATGTGCTGGGTGTGAGGGTGTGAGTCACGGGCAGGGGCAGGGTGTGGGGCTTAGGCAATGATTTGGGGAAGGGGGCAGAGCCAGTTTGCGTTTTCGGGGGTTGAGGTGGATTGCTGGGGTAAGCGTTAGCAACGGGACATAGTCCCTTCCTGACCGTTGTGCGCGGTCCAGATCCGTCAGGCCACGAGCCTGACAGTGGGCTGGTTGCGGGGCCGGAGGGTGAGGGGTGCGGTAGCTTAAGAAGTGGGATGCGATCCCTGCCCGACCGCGCACGGCGTGGTCCAGCTCTGGAGGGCCACGAGCCCAACATGGAATTGGTTGGGGGGCGTGGGTGTAGTATATAGCCGTGGGACACGTTCCTTGCCTGACCACGCATGACGTGGTCCAGCTTTGGTGGGCCATGTGCCCAGCATAGGGAGGGCCGGGTCGGGGTTCAGAGCAAAATGTCGAAATCGTTTTTCTACCGAGTTTTGCTGGGTCGAGGGGATTTGTGGGAGGGATGTTGGCGAGATTGTTTGAGGGGGTTCCTTCAGCCAGGAGGGAGCAAGTCTCCTACCCCAACAGGGCATGCCCCTGTCGTGCGCTCACGGTGCCACGAGCCCGTGGAGGGAAGCAACTCATACATGTTTAGGTGCTGGCAATTTGTTCATGTGAAACGTCCCTTTGACAGCTTCGCAGCATTTAGGCTATCAGCTCGTAAGCAGTTGTGGTAGCATGTCGGAACGACCGAACAAAAGGAAGATCAAGGAACTTCAAAGGGGCCTGGAGGAAATGAAACGGGTTCAGGAAAGGCAAGGCACAACGCTGACTCAATTGACCACGCGCGTGGACCGAATGGACCGCAGCACATGCTTAGTGATTGAGTACTCAGCCGCCGTGGAACGCATCTACAAAACCGCAGAGGACACGCGAGAGTTTAAGAGAGTCGCTCGTGACTCAGCGGAAGCCTTGCTTCAGGAGTTGGCCCCAAAGATGCACCTCCCATACCCGCTACCCGCATGCACCCCTGAGCAATGGAATGCTGAGAATGGCAACAGACCGAAGGGGCATGTTCTTACTGCGTGGTGGGCCTTCGTACCGGTACTCCTAGTGGGAACGCGGTTTATCATGCCAAATCGTTTGCGGCCTACCTGGGACCCCAACACCCGCCAGAGAAATCGAGCTGAGGGTCACTTTGTCTTCAAGCTGGAGTTTGGGGATCTGAGTTTCTCTGTGGCACGGGCTTTACAGGCTGGGTTGGGTCAACACCTGAATCAAATCAACCGTGCGGGCCGTGACGCGTAGGAAGTGAACCCCACGACCATGTACATTCATAGGACCCTCGAAGAACAGCAACGTAGAAGCAGAAGGGCGGGGCAGGAACAGCCTAAGGGAAACGGACGGGGGGACCGGGAAGGGAGAGGCCGAGGCCGAGGCCGCGGCAAGGGTCGCCGGTAAAGAAAGAGTTCGGGTTTCACCCCCTACCTTTGTGTAGGGTTGCACTGTAGGTCGGCTGGGTGAGGGGGATGTAGTAGCAGCCCTGCTAAGGACTTGACGGGGTAAGTATTTTTTCTTTTTAACCGCTTCTGTATATGGGTAGGCGAGGAAGTGACGATACTAGTCTTTATCGAGCCGACACCTTTTAGATGTTTTTGCTTGAGCCATGGCGTAAGATGACAGTTTTCCGGAGGTGGGCCGCTTGGTTGATACTGTGCGCCTCTTTTCGTGGGTCTTGGGAATTAGGCGGCTAAACCAGACACCTTACCGTCATCATCATCATCATAATCCAGATATCATTCGAAGACACATCCTCAGCCAGGTGATCTTCAAATCGTTGAAAGCCGAATTGTTGCGGAATCCGCATTTCGCTTTCGTAAAGAAAAAGATGCTTGTTAGCAGCATGGTTGATAACACATTGCTTGCTGGGGCCGGAGTGTGGGCGTTGAGAACCGGACCGGAGCTTCGCGCATTTGAGGCCAGCTATGGACATTGGCGTCAATGCTGCATGCCTTTGCTTGGAGGGACGTCGGCTGGCATGACTGATGAGCAGATTTGCGTCATGCTCCGCATTGGCTTGGCGAGAGAAATCATATACGCGGCTAGGGTGCGCATGTTGATTCAGGCCATCCAGGAACGATTTCTATTCTTGATGATCATGTTGGCATTTGACACATGGTGGATGCTGCAGGTTGCGGGTGATGTGTGCGCAATTTGCGGACAGCTGCAGTTTGAAGACTTGCTTGAGGTGTCCCGTGAAGCAGTCGACCCAAAAGGTGAACGCATTTCATAAGTCAGGCGGAGTTGAAAAGCTCGGCTTGCACAGGCTGAGTGCACACACGTGCAATGAGTGTGGCCAAAATTTCTCAAATGCAGGGGCCCTGGGATCGCATCGCTCCAAAGTTCATCGGATTGTAGCGGTGTCCACTGCGCTTGCACAAAGAAGTGTATGCCATGTTTGCATGAAAGACTTCCACGATACCAAGTGGCGCCAGAGACATCTGAATGCTGTGGAACGGTGCCGCCGCGCACTACAGCATGGTGATTGTGCGGGAGATGGACCGTTTGTGTTGAAGGTCCTCGGCCGTTCTGGGCCACATGGAATCCGGAACGTGATGAATCTCCGGACGTGGAGTTGGACGGCATGAAAGCAGCAACCATATGTGCCAGGTTGCAAGGATACTGCCTTCAAAACAAGTTTCATCCTGGAAAAGCGGTGCAGCTACTGATGGTGGTTCACCGGCTTTACTCTAGCTTCGGTAACATTGATCTCATAAAAGTTTCCTTGGAGGAGACTCTCGAGAGAGACTGTGCGGCTTGCATAGTGCTTGATGTGATCGAAGCCTACGAGCGGATCATATCGCAGGAAGCAGGCAGGTACCAAGGGTGCAGAGGGGCTTCGCTTGGAGAAGACCTCGAATCCTCATTTCAGAGAGAAGCACTGCAATTTTGGAAGAGTGAGTGTATTGATCCTACTCTTTTGCAAGCGAAATTGATGTATGCCGAACAGTTAAGCCAATCGCAAAGAGAGAAAAAGAAAGGGACCGTCTTAACTTGCATGACGGAAAGGCTTCAATGCCAGGCGGGAGTTTCGGTTTCGGACTGATTCACCCTGGCTGGATTGGCTGGAGGTAAATTTGGAACAGCACAAGTCCAAAGTCATCTCGTGGGGCCCCCGCCAAGCGAGGGCCCCCGTACGTTTGACAAACAAACCTTCTTGAAGGCAGCCCCGAAGTATTGCTGGCACAAATGTATTTGCAAGCCAGCCTCAGGACAGAGGTCGCACAGGCCTCTAGTTCCTGCATAGCCATCAGGACAGTTGAAGCAAAGGGACCTGTTGTCAGAAACCAGCGTTCCATCTGGGCAAACTTGGCAGAATCCATTCTGAGCCACTTGTCCCTCGAGGCAAAATATGCAAACAGACCGATTGCGCGTTGGCACCATGCCAACAGGGCAGTCTAAGCATCGTCCGTCCAAGCCCGCTTTTCCAGTCGGGCACGCAATACAAATTGCTGAGGCAGAATCTGGCTCTTCACCAACAGGGCAGAGGTTGCAGACCCCAGCTGCCCCAGCATATCCATCAGCACATGGAAGACAAGCAGATCGCTTGGAGTCAGGCTGGGACCCGTCAGGACAGGGTGAGCAGAATCCATTGGCCCCAAACATGCCAGTTGGGCATGGCACGCAGGATGTAAAATCTGGCGCGTTCTGTTGGCCATCTTGGCACTGATTGCATTGTCCGTTTTGACCTGCCGTACCTTGAGCACAGGTCAAACAGTCTGAATGGTCTGCACTTGGCTCTGTCCCATCAGGACATTCCTGGCACAATTCAGACCCCACATTTGGTGCGGCAGCATTCTCCTCGCAAGCGATGCAATTGGTCTGCCGGGAGCTTGGCTGAGCTGAACCACGAGGGCATTGTTTGCAACTCACTTGACCAGATTGATCCTGAGGCATCATAAGGCCAGCACGTCAAATTGGAATGGAATCAGGTGGTAAGGGAGGCAAACCAGTCAACAGCAATGTTACACGGTTCAAAAAGAACATACGCTGCCACGTGGCATTGTACATTCCATACAGATTCTCTGTATTGGATGAGGAAGACATGAAGAACTCGCGATTTTGCAGCGCTAGGCCCCCTGTTCAACACATACCTTTTTGTTGCAAAAGTGGGATTCCTTCTGCGAAGACCACATCGGGGGACCCTCTAATGCTGCGACACCTGCATTAGAGTTCTGCTGCCAATTTGCCCGGTGCTTACTGAATCGTGTCTTTCACAAGCCCTACGGCCACCACTCACGCCACCGGGTAAATGACACTTTTTCTTCAAAGTTCCTTTGCAGAAGGCTCATCCTTTGCAGGCCCAATCGCCTTAGAGCCCTTTAGCCATCTAAACTTACAAAACCCCAGAACGCAAGGGAGTGCGTTTGTCCTGGAACTCGCCTGGCAAACAATCAGAACAACTTTGCCCATCGCCAGCTTGGCCTGGACCACAAAGCTCGCATGTTTTGCCAGTACTCTGACTGCCGCTCCCACAAAGCTCATTGCAGAATCCACCGGTACCGGCACGGCCAGACGGACACGGATCGCATTGACTTGTTGACGCTGGGGCGAAGCCGTCCTGACATCTCGTAAGTTGCGGCCAAACTTCGATGTCTGTACCTTGGCTCGACAGGACCATGCTCCACGCATCCATCGTGAGCGCCAGCGCGGGAGATGGCGCTGACCGGCCCAGCACCGTCAATAGCTCTCCAGTGGACGCGTCAAAGAAGGCCAGTTGAAACAACGTGGCTGCAACAAGGGCACCAATTGTATTCGAATAAGCTATGGAGGTGATGCCATGGCTCAGGGCGGATGGGCCAGATCCAAAGTCACGCACCTTCAGGCCCGTGTCTGGGCTCCAAGCATGGATGGCACCGTCGTCTCCAGCACTCGCCACCAGACCGCCTTGATCCGGAAGTGACTCTATCGAACGAATAGCACCATCATGGGCCTTGAAAAGATGCTGAAGGGGCAGCTCAAAACGGTACATAGTGTATGGTGCCGCAATCAATACATCACATGCACCCACGTTTGCAAGCATCTGACATTCGTTGGCAGAAGTGCTGCCCACCTGCCCATAAACAAAAAAGTTGCCTCCTCCTGGAGATGATTGCTGCACGGCAGCTGCAATGCAATCTTCAAGTAGGTAAGCAGTGGGCAAAGGCACAAACGTACTGCCTGAGCAGATCCTCCCGTCTGCTTGCAATCTGGCTAAGGGTAATGACCAAATTCCCATGAACCCATCGATCGACCCGCTGCTCAGCATTTGAAGCCCATCGAGTGGCTTGAGCGATACAACAACGTTGCTATGTCCTACCAGCTCTCGCGTGATCGTTTTGGAGCTCATGCTCCAAAGCCGAATGTTGGAATTGAAAAAGCTACAGGTGGCAACTTCGCTGTAGGTGGAAACATCATCTGAGTATGCAACAAAGGCCACGGAATTCACCTGACTCCCTCCCGAATTCTCATCCACGGCAGCGATAGACTGCAGAGTTGAAACCTGCATAAACACGACACGGCCGTTGAGTCCGCCCGCTATTACCTCACTGTTATCATGATCGTAGGTCACTGATGTAACACGGCTGCCCACATTTCCTCCAAGTACGGTTGCCAGGTCTGACCCCCTGAAGGCTTGCAGAGTTCCGATGTCACCGCCCACGAACAGCAAGTCCTGCAGCATTTGAGTCAATGACGGATAGATGAGCTGGCTGGCTTCAAGCTGAATGAAGTAATGCTTAATGAAGCTGGAAACGTCTAGAAGGATATCCTAACATTCTCAACAGAGCGGTCCCACCGGCTGGAGTAGCTCATCGCTGTAACTGCTCCAGCCCCTGCATCGAGAAGATCAGCTCTCGTGCCTCCCACGATGTGGCCTGCAGGGATTGCTGCCAGCCGCCGGTGAACAGTGCAGCAGCTTGAGTTGTCCCATTGGTCCAGGGTGACCTGGCAGAACGAGCATAGCTTCGGTGACCAACAACGGACCAACCTTGACCCAACTGTATACCCATCTGCAGAGAGCAATGTGACTGCAAACCCGTCCTCATGACACAAGCCGAAAACGCACACAATGCCAGCTACTCGAGTCCACATAGCTAAGCACCAGAGCTACATTGCCGAAGCTGTGCCCTCCAGGGCACACCTGGGGGCTCAGCGCTGGTTCAACAAACGTCGAGCCATACTGCTGCCATGCGAGACAACCTAGGACTTTGCACCGTTACACGCCGCAAGAGAACCACTGCTGTTCCCTTGCGCACAAGGTGCAACGCGGGATTTGCATCTGTCTTGTTCTGCTGGAACGTGGGCATGTTTGGCAAAGGTGTTGGCCAGAACTTGAATCCACATAACTGAAACTATGCATTCAGAATTCTGCGCTGCTTCGGCAGGAGTTTGATGTGGACTCCCGATGAATCTGCCCGAGGGTCTTATGTTGTGGGCATGGAAATGAAGGGAAATCTTGACTGCCTGTACCAAGCCCCATTCTGACATCCTGGATCATCTTCACAGGTTTTCGACAATTGTCGAAACTTTAACCGGACTAGAACCTTTTAGTGCGCTTCAAGACTACTTGTGGATAATCCTCCACACTGCCACGACACCAAGCACGAGGAAGTTTGCCGCTGCTGCAGCATCGAAAATTGAGATGTTGCTTGCTTTGAAGGATTTCGGTGCAGGAATTTCTTTGTGTGCCCCACTTCTCGTCCAGTGCTCCTCATACGCCCGTTCTCGTCCTCTCCCGTGGCTGTTACTGTTAGATTCTTGAGGACTGATTCCCTCCTTTCTTGCTCCCACCGCACACACTGCCCAGACATCGGCTTCGCTAAATAAGTCGTGTTTCTTCCTCCTGGAAAGCCTTCGGAGTCGTCGCCGCTTTAAACTTTCTCCGGAGGGTATCTTGCCGCCGTATTCAAAGTAGCTTGAGCTGTAGGAAGCTGTAGCCGCACCAAGTAGCTGACCTGTTCCTGCTCCTCGCTTCTGGCCTCTGCCGTGTGGGAGACCATTTCAAGCCGATATTACAGCTTACCCCGGCAGCAAGCTGGTTCGAGTTGTGCAGCTCTCTGGGGGCCTCATGGACACCTCAGGGAATGCAAACGTTGTAAAAAGCGCGCGATATTTGCTTGACTTGAGGACTAGCTTTGCACTGCAACAGATGAGAACTTCGAGGCCTGGGAGCTGGTTATGGGACTGCGACTTCAGGTAAGCACACCTTCTGGCATGACATACCGTTTGCTGGTGGCACATGCGTCATGAGCCAAAACCCCCGAAAACTCAAAAGCATCTGTGTTGTGCAAGTTGCTTGAGAACGCTTCATGTCTGAGCTCCCGCATGGCACTCGAAGAGGGAAAACCAATAATGATGACTCTAAAGTTGCATGCGCGGCATCAGCAGTACACAGTGGCTAACATCCCACAACCCCTGCCTGAGGTTCACTCAACAGCCATCGCAGCTTTAAAGACCGATTATGCTTCTACCGTTGAACCTCCTCGTAGGCCAGCCAGCACATCTAGCTTTGCCCCAAAGTCCCTGAACGATCCTGATTTTTGAACAGTACAAACGATTTCTGACAACTCTGAACTACTTGGAACTTCAAGCCCTCCATTTGAACACAAGCCAGGAACGAAATAATGAATCCGCTCGTGTTGAAACATCTCAGGCCCGATTTCAGGGGGGTCCAATTAGCCTGTGGTCTTCAGCTAGGACCGGGATTGACTCAATCGCCCAGGCAGTGAGGAGAATTATTAGATGTCGACGTTAAAGCGACGGCGGCGCTTATGACTACTTCAAATGCGGTTCCGAGTTGTATAGTAATGATTGATTGATTGATTGATTGATTGATTGATTGATTGATTGTTTGTGGAGTCCAGCCCCTGCATGTGCAAGGCACTTCGTTGCACTTTGCAGCACATCACATCAGAAAGCGGAGCCCTGACATGACTGCACAACTCCGCATTCTGGGCACTGAATGCGCCTAGCAAGCATGGTACGCACATCTACAAGTCCAACATGTCGAGATCTGCATACATGCGAAGGCGTCGATCTGTGGGCTGAGTACGCAAGAAATGAGCAGTAGCACCACGCCACAGCATCCTATCCCACGCCAGCTCGTGCACATCAGACGCCGCTCCACGCAGGCGCTGAGGAGGCGAACTCCAAAATTTGGCAACATCAGAATGGAACCTCCGGGGATAAACCTGGCTGGATGTCTCACACCCGTCACCCGCAGTCCCTGCTGTCGCTGCCACCATGAGTTGTATAGTAATTCGTGGCTAAGACTAGCTTTGAGCGATCCCTTTATCGTCCGTTGCACCGGTAGCTTGCATTTAGCACAGCGATGAAATTTTGCCTGACTTCTTTGGCCAATCAGAGGTAACTGCATCGACATACCACCCTGAGAATGCCAAGTCAGCTAGCAAGTGCATGCCCAGCTTGCTGTCCCAAATCAAGGACCATCACCCCAACAAGCAGTGATAGCAGGGTCGGGCAGCAAAAGGCACAAATCCTGCAAAATGTCTTGAACGACCTCCCTCTGAAGCCCCCAGGACCCCTTTCAAACCGGTCATATCCTTGGCGAACCTTCTAGAAGAGTTTCCAAGCCAATCCCCTGCCATCTAAAGCCGAACCTGTGCTCAGCACGGCCGGAATTATTTTTGGATAATTTTTACAACTGTTTATTTTGGTTCTGGTGCCAGGCCAGCAAATATTGTGAAATGCAGCATTTGGCTACTGTAGCCGCTTATTTTCATCTTCGCACAGCGTCCTCAAGGGTGCTTGGAGGCTTTGCTGCGAATGCTGGCAATGCCCATGCACCTTCTTACACACCTTTAATAAGATTCTTATGCAATGCGCCTGCATTTTTAAAATAGCAGGCTGGCTAGGGGGCGCACAGCCCCCCCCCCCATGCGCAAAAAAAAACCGGAGATAAGAACATATAGATTCTTGCACGATTTTGACGGAATTTCTTAGCAGTTTGCTTGCATTACAATATGGGAATTACATTTTCTGCAGACACTCAAGATTTCTCAATGCTGTCATGCGTGTGCGACTTTCAAAAGGCTTTCACTTACCTGTACCGGTTGCCTTTCCAGAGCCACAAATGCTGTAACTTACAGTGTTCGTAGGCTTTCGAGACAACCCCACTTGCGGTAACTTGCAATATTCGTAGAATTGCAATGGCCGCGCTCGCTGCAATTGGGACCCATAGCCTTTCAAGATCCGCAAATGCTGCATTTGCAGCCTTCATAACTTTCAAGACCTGCTAAACACATTTGTTTGTGGCATAGCCTTTCAAAAGCTCCAGATGCTGTAGTTTACATGCGCAGTCTTTCAAGAGCCGCATGTGCTGTCTTTTCCTTCCAGTATGCGTAGTCTTCCAAAAACTCGAATTTTTGTGATTTACGGTAGTCCCGTAGGAGGCCCAAGGACCCGGGGACAGTGGACCTCCAAACCAGAGGACCGGCGGACCAGGGGACCAAATCAGCGGACTAGAGGACCACAGAACCGAAAAAAGAGCGCACAAAAAAAAAAAAAAACAAATGATGAAGAAAAAGGCA